TTAATAAATAGGTAGGTAACTAAACTACTGTCAGCAGAGTTAAACGTTTTTATTAATACTGAGCTATACAAATACATAGAATGCTTGACTAAGCATCATTGCAATTCAAAGAACTGGGGACAACAAAATACTGTCCACACAGCATATTTATATTTACATATATTAACTAATTATTTTATTAATTGAACTACAAAAATTCTATCAACTACAAAAATGTATTACGTAATAAAATAACACTGCTTGCGGCAAAAGGTGGCTTTATCAAAGGAACGCGCGGCACTTGTCAAAGAAAAGCCGTGTTGTTTCTAGACGAGAGACAGTACAGTCTAGTTTTGGGCGGCGCGTTTAACGGGAACATTCGAGACTTTCGTTCACGCCGATATACATGTTGCGCCTGCAGGAATTGGAGTTATTCTGAATTATAACTTGATAGCGATCCTACGTCGATACAAAGTTTATTATTAAATAGTGGAAAATGAGTGCAGTGAAGAAATATAAAACGTATCATTTTAATAAGGATTGGGAGGAAGAATTTTTCTTTTCTATGGTGAAGGATAAGTGCATTTGTGTTATTTGTCGTGCGTCAGTTGCAATACCTAAGCGTGGTAACTTAGAGAGGCATCATAAAACGGTTCATAAAAACTACGGAAAGGATTTTCCGCCACAGAGTGAATTAAGAAAACGAAAAGTAAGTGATTTGATATATTGTTTGAAAAAAGAACAATCCATGTTCACAAGACCAGCCAAACAATCAAAAGCTGCTACGATCGCGTCATTTAAAATATCTCATATTTTGGCGAAACACAAGAAACCATTTGAAGATGGATCGGTGGTGATGGAAGCATTTATTGAAGCGGGTGAGACTTTATTTGGAGATTTTAAAAATAAAACAGAAATCATGTCTGCTATTAGAGAACTTCAGTTATCTCGTCCGACTGTCACAAGGCGTATTGAAGTCATGAGTCAAGACATAGCAGATAAACTAAAACATAATATCATGGAATGTACATACTTTTCTTTACAATTCGACGAATCCATCGATATGACAGACACTGCCCAGCTGTATATTTTTATTCGGATGGTATTCAATGACATGTTGGCTAAGTAAGAATTTTTGGCAATCATTCGTCTGAAGAGGAAGACCCGTGGCGAAGATATATATGACGTTTTCTTAAATTTTGTAAAAAAGTACGAGCTACCAATATATAAATTAATGTACATTACAATCGATGGAGTACCAGCAATGACTGGAAACAAAAACGGTTTTGTGGCATTGTGTCGAGCTAATGAAGAATTCCCTTCATTTTTTTCATTCCATTGCATTATACATTAACAAGTTTTGTGTTCAAAAAATTTAAACACGAAGGAAATTATGGGCATTGCAACAAAAATTGTGAATTCCATCCGTGCACGTAGCTTGCAACGGCGGCTCTTTCAGTTGCAGTTGGAAGATAGGGAGTCAGCTGAACACACTAATTTAGTTTTTTGACCAAACCTTGACTAAAATAATGTACCTATATTGTGCAGAAAGCTAATATCTATATATGCTACGGGTACCCTACCTACCTAGGTAGGTAGGGTGTATCGTGTATGTACGACAACCCTGCATCACACACACTTGCAGTGTCTCAGAGTCGATCGTAAGTAGTGTAAAAATATTGAGGTAGATCGCCAGCAGTTCAAGTTTGAGCACCCCTGGTCTATAGGATATTTAGTTTTAGAATATAAAGATGAAATAGTTTTGATGTTATTTGTTGCTATTTTTATATTGTCTATAACCTTAAGTATTTGTTATCAATTTAGTTGTTAAAGATAGTATAAAAGGTAGTGAATGATAAAAGATGTTCTGATTTTTGGATATATTGTTCTGGATTTCATCATTATTTTGATTTTTTGATATCCTCATAAATTTGTTTTTCTTGATGTTTATTGATAATCCATATTCTTTTCCATACTCAACTATCTTGTTCATTAGCTTTTAGAGGTCTTCGAAGTTCATGATAGTATCATCATCATATTTAATGTTGTTAACTGGTGTTCCATTGACCTTTATTTCAGTTGTTTGTTCCTCAAGACCTCTTTTCATAATTTCTTTAGTTAGAGTATGCATTGAATAGTAGTGGTGACAATACACACCCCTATCGTATTTTTTTTAATTTCGAACTCTTATGATTGATGTCTGTTCATTAATGCGTATATGTACCTGCTGTTTATAATATAGATTTTTTTATAATTCGAAGATCATTGTATTGTAATTTTTTTATTTTGAGGACGAACTTTATCGAAAGCCTTGTTGTAATCTATGAAACAGACGTATATATCTTGGTTCACATCCAAGCATCTCTGGATTAGTACGTTGAATGTAAAGATAGCTTCACGGGTACCTACGCCTTTACGAAATCCAAATTGGGTTTCTTGGTATTTCAAGTTTGTAAGACATCAGGCTTATGCTGCAATGGTCGGTGCATTCTCTAGAATTTTTCTTTTTTTGAAGACAAATAAATGTTGAGGTCAACCATTTATTGGGTATGTCGCCTGACTGATAAATTTCATTAAAGAGCTTAAAGAGGATATTCATGTACTCATTTTCTATTATTTTCAGGATATCAATAGGCAGTTAATCTTTCTCGAGCTTTTTCTGTTTCTGGTGTTCTTTAGGGGATATAATATTTCTTACTTTTTATTTCTATACTTGTTTCTCTGTCCTCGAAAAACATGTCTTGTAGGATTACTCTTTCATTGTCGAAGACCTCTTCCACATATTTTTTCCACCGTTTTACCTTTTCGTCAGTCGTTATCATAGTATTTTCATTTTTATTTAAAAAAGTTGTGTAGCGGTTTCTTTTTTGCAGTCCCGCTATTTCTTTAACCTTACTATGTAGGTTGAATAGGTCGTATTTGTTCTGAAGATCTTGTATCTTGTACATTTTACATAGTAAGTTTGTTTTGCCTTTCTTATTATTTTTCTGATTTTATTGTTAATAATTTTGTAGTTGTGACTGTCTTTGCTCTTACGTCATAATATGTGTTATTACGTTATATTACGTCTAGATTATATCATAGATTTCAATTATATCTGCAGTAGTCAGTAGGCATGATTAATAACTTTAATACTTTTACTGTAATACACGATTGAATTTGGGATAAAAACCCTTTGATGCTAACATCATAGATTTTAATGAGTGTTGCCCAAATACAAAAACAAGATAAGACTTCGACAGTCTTGGTCTTGGTCTTGCGCCAATACACCTGGTCTTGGTCTTGGTCTTGGTCTTGGTCTTGGTCTTGGTCTTGGTCTTGGTCTTGGTATTACACTTCCGGTCTTGATCTTGGTCTTGGTCTTGCAGCAAGAGTCTTGTAAGTCTTGCAGTTACCTATTAACTTATTGCTATTTATTAAACGTAACTAGGGGGTTTAAAGTCACGATCTAAGCGATCCGTGTCTATGCTCTAACTAACTCCGTTATCTACCAGGCTCACGGAAGTCAATCAAACATGGTTAAAACGCAAAAAAAAATTAATGACATAAACTTGACTGTATTTTAAAGAACATTATCTATCTAGAAAGGGATTGATGGACCCCCAACATATATGAAATCTAAATCTTAAAAAAGATTGGTGTGTGGCAAAAAATCCACATACATGTATCAAGCGCACAGATTCTTTAGGTGATAAGATAACAAACTATAATCCACTTATTAAAGCAACATAAATGTTATTACCAATCTTAGCTCTACTTTTATATAAAAAACTAACTTGAAAAAATAAAGAATAGGTAAAAAAACAATGATAATCAAAAGAAGTTATTTTAAATTATGGAGATATCTACTTAATAAATACAATTTACCAAAAGAAAGTAGTAGGTACATTTTTTATGAACCAGAATTTTGGATTTTCAGGAAGAAATATTTGTAATATCTATTTGTGAAAAGATATTACAAGCTTCCTCAAACCTGACGTTTTTGTTTTCCTTTTTTTTCAACATTTCTATGTAGGCACACTTTACATAAATCAATTTGGGATACATAAATTATTTGGAAAAAATTTATTTTTACATTGTAATTATGACCTCTGAGCACATGTCAAATGAGTTTTTTTTAATGAATATTTTGATTGATGATTTTGATGTATGTTTATGCTATTGTTTGTAGTGCGCATAAGTCCAGTTTTTCAAATTTTTATTACATATTTTTTGCGTCTAATAGAGTCTTTAAGCATATACCCGCTATTATACTCGCTAAAACGACACTCAGTCCTAACTTCAAGACGCAAGAGTCTAGCAGGCTTAGTCTTGTTCTTGCGTAAATCTTGCACGGTCAGTCTTGGACTTGGTCTTGCGAAAACGCAAGAACAAAACCAAGACCAAGACGGATTTTTGGCAACACTAATTTCAATCATATCTGTAGTAGGCAGTTCCAAATTTTTAGTTAAAAATAGTCATTACTTCCTCAGTTACATACTGTTAGAAACATCTTGAAGCACCCTATATACTTGCAACATTATTTTGCTCTTTTTCTAAAATATTTTAAGCTTTTTTACCCATTTTAAGCTTCTTTTGTTAATTTTTTGGCACAATTATGTTAAAAATTAATGCAACTTGTTTAGTAAACTTTGGCGAATGAATATGTTTCCAAAAAACTTAAAAGAACAGCAAATAAAGGTTTATTGAAACCAAAAACATAAACACCGCGTTGCAATAATGTGATGGTATGAAGTTTATGGTATCACTTCTAATAGAAAGTACTGATCATAATATTAATTTTATTTTGTAAATCGCATTATCTAAATAAACAATTTTATTAACTAAGGTATTTTTTTATCGTATAATTTATTAGTAAAAACTGTATTGATGCTCATTTTTTCAAGGTGTCAAAATATGCCGACCAATTTGTAATTGTAAAACAGGTCCCGCTGGTAGACCACGCCTCCACCGCGGTATATCTAGTATAAAATTCGAATTCACAAATGCATTACACACAGTCTCAATCACAATCAGAAATCATGGCATTCAAAGTAAGTTATCCATCATGTATTCATCGAATTAATAATTTAATCCGGTATTGCTTATACCGAATCAAATGTTGTTTTTTTTTAAGTCTTTACAAATCTTGTGCACTTTTGTTTTTTCGAGAAATTTGTCACGAAATATATTTTGTATAATATATTTTCATGACGGTCTAATTACTTTTTTATTTATTTAAATAGTACAAAGATTTCATGTGTAACTTAATTTTTTATTAAATTATTAAAAACAAATAAACCAACTTATTTTAATACGCGTTTATTAATTTCTGTATTTTTTACATTTAGTGACGTATCTGATTTATCTGTTCTTCTAAATTTTAAAAGGTTTTAATTTATATTCAAGTAAACTATATAAAGATTTTTCTATAAATATCTTGCACAGCAAAAATTAACCATTTAAATATGTTAATAGCTTTTACAGAAAAATATTAAAATAAAATTATTCTTTCAGTTTATTGTCTTTGCCGCATTAGTAGCAGTCGCCCGTGCTGGCGTTTTTGGTGAAGCCTACTCCGCGCCACTCGCCTATGCAGCTCCAGCAGTAGCTAAGGTAGCCTACTCAGCCGCTCCAGCTGTATCATATTCAAGTGTATCAGCACCTGTATCCTACGCAGCACCAGCTATTGCTAAATTAGCTGCACCCGTATCTTATGCTGCACCAGCTTTATCTTACGCCGCACCAGTCGCTAAAGTAGACTACTCACAAGCACCTGCTGTCTCCTACTCCAGTGTGTCAGCCCCAGTAGCATACTCCGCTCCAGCTCTTTCTTATGCCGCTCCAGCTCTTAAACTAGCTGCTCCAGTACATTATGCCGCCCCAGCTATTAAAGTAGCTGCTCCAGTAGCTTATGCCGCACCTGTTGCCAAAGCTATTATTGCAGAACCATCAGCACCAGCTAACTACGATTTTGGATATGCCGTAAGTGATCCCCATACCGGAGACAGCAAAAGCCAACAAGAATCTCGCCACGGTGATGTTGTACATGGAAGCTATTCTCTTATTGAAGCCGATGGCAGCAAACGTACCGTAGAATACACCGCTGATGCACACAATGGTTTCAATGCAGTTGTACACAAGGAACCAGCCGCAGTTGCCGTTAAAGCAGTAGCACCAGTTGTAGCCAAAATTGCCACCCCAATTGCCTACGCTCAACCAGCCCTCAAGGTAGCAGCACCAGTTGCTTATGCTCAACCAGCCCTCAAGATAGCAGCACCAGTTGCCTACGCTCAACCAGCCCTTAAGGTAGCAGCACCAGTTGCCTATGCTCATTCTGCTCCTCTAGGATATGCTGCATCTCCATTCTATCACTAATTGTGGTTTTTAATAAACCCTTTTGTAAATATTTATTTTTTAGACAATATAATTTTTGACATAAAAATGTCAAATTGTTTTATTGTATTTCAACTTTTGCCTTGAATGTAGCCCAGTTTTTTACACAGATCCAAGATTTTTTTGTTGCTTAACCCAGATTTTTACAAAAGATCTATTTCTTGTTATGATGTTGGCAATCACATCGACTCATTCTATTCTATTTATTCCATCCCAGAATAGATCAATTAATGGTAGACCAATTTTTTTCTTAAAAATAGTCAGCTAGTATATACGCTTATCTCCAAAGTATTTCGTTCTTTTTCTTTTTGCCCTAGGATTAACTGTAAAAGTCTCATTGTGTATAATGTGGCCAAATTAAGTTGTATTCTCTATATATAATAACCGTAATATCCTTTGTAGCACACCATTTTAAATGTTTATAACCGTCTGATGACATTTTTTATAAGACTTAAGCTTTTTACACCGTATAGTATAACATCTGAGAATTTATTGTAATGCATATAATAATATTTTATGAAACTTTTTCTTGGGATACATATAGGTATATGGAACATAAGTACAGGTGATCCAAAAAATTGAGTATCCATAAAGTTAAATAACCGAAGATGGATATACTCTTAGCAATGGAAGGAAGTGTCATATTATCCATCCATTATATGACTCTACAGCCCAATTTAATACTCAGCAAACCTCTTCATTCAACACAGCCTAAGGCTATTCTCTTCCACGATCAACTGCCAAGAATATTCCTGACGTCTTCATCCACATTATTCCCCCATCGCTTTTTTAATCTTCCAATAGGTCTCTTTCTCTGCATGCTTACATTCAACAATTTTTTTGGAACTCTGTTTTCTGCCATTCTAAATACATGACCTGCCCATGAAAGATGCTGTATGTGGTATGAATGCATCGTCAATATTGTTCTTTGTAATGTTGACTCCTTAATAGATATTCACATGCTGCTAGTTGAACTGATTTATTGATAAGTGTGGTGTTTATACCTTCTGAAGAATTTTTAGCTGTATTCCTGTACTAAAATAAACAGTGTCATTACCGACCTATCACCCTCTTTTAATTCTTGTATGATGTGCCCAGGCTTTGCTTAAGACCTGTTTAACTATGAATAAATGGTCGGTGGTTGATCTTCCTTACCTTGTCTTATATGCCCCAACGATCTTCTCTGCGAGAGGTTGTAATCGATGGTTAAGGATGCTGGTAAATATTTTAAATAAAAATTTTATAGCACAGCAAGGATATTCTTCTATAGTTTTGACAGAGAAGTTTATCGCCCTTTTTATGGATTAGGCAGATGATAATCTTATTCCTTTAGCATATTCCCTTGTCTCCATGTTGTTTGTTTGACCCCATATACCCTTTTTATTATTTCTCTTCATTTGCCACCTCAAACAGAGACACTTTTTTGATTACACACTATATTATCATTATTCTGTTTATAGTTCGTCTTGTCAAATAAATTCTATGTGTTTTATTTCATTCTTTAATTGCCACCTTACACTCATTATTAAACCATTGGTTATCTTTCCTTTATTTAGTTCCTAGCGTCGATTTTGCTGCAGTAAATGTGGTTCTACTTATTAGGTTCCACTGGTCTTTTAATCTTCTTCTTTAAGTGCCATCTCCGCGGCGGAGGTCGGCAATCATCATAGCTATTCGGATCTTTGAGATAGCTGCTCTGATTTAATGTACATCTATGCCAGTCTCTCAAGTTGCGCAGCCATGATACTCTACGTCTCCCTATGCTTCTCTTTCCTTGAATGTGTTCCTGCATAATTAGTTGGAGCAACACATATTTCTCTCCACGTGTAATATGTTCAAATTATTCCAATTTTCTTGTTTTAACTGTATTTAAAATTTCGATCTCTTTATTCATCCTTCTCAAAACCTCTTTGTTTGTAACGTGTTCTGTCCACGATATTTTCAGAATTTTTCTATACACCCACAGTTCGAATGATTCCAGATCTTTCTTTTATTTAGTTCCTAGCATCGGTTTTGCTGCAGTTAATGTGGCTCCACTTATTAGGTTCCACTGGTCTTCTAATAATCTCTCCTAATTTTCTTCATATTTAGTTTGCTTTCTCTTTATTTTTTCTTCAAATTTCTTTTGAGTTTCGGCTCTTTTTAGTTTTACCGGATCTAGAATTTTCTTTCTTGTGTGATTCTCTTTTGCCTGTCGCCTGATCCTAAATCTGAAGTGTACCTAAACTAGTAGGTGGTCTGAGCCGTAGCATGAACCTCGTCTACTTTTTACGTCCAGAATACTTATTGGTGATCGCTTTTCTATCAAGACATGGCACGTATTTTGACTCCAGGCAAACATCCCCTTCAGGAAATATCCAGGTGCATTTGTGTATGTTTTTTTTATTATAATAACTGGTTAAGTTATTGCAAGCCGAGCCTGAGCAAAGTGAAGACATGGATAGGAAGCAGGGATCTCATACTGGCGGTCCAAAGAAGACTGAAGCTATAATCGCTGTTCGCAAGGAAAATGGGAAAACTTTGGTGCTGACAAGGATTATGCTTAATGCGGGAGGACTAGAAACTGCCAAAAGGATCATTTTATTAAAAGTAATCTACTCTATACTCTATGAGGCACCGGTACGGCAGCAATTGCTTAACATAAAGAAATATAATAAAATGTTAGAAAACGCCCTCAGAAAAGCACTGTTAAGGGTAGCACGTGGAAATAGAGCAACAATAAAGGTGGACATACAAGTAATCGTAGATATTTTACCCATCCTCCTCCTCAGTCATAACCCCTTTTGGGACGTGGTGACACCATCAGGCCTTTACAGTTTTTTTCACGATTTCCCTCCATCCTTCTCTGTCCTGGGCTAGCTGTTCGGCTTCATGGAACCCTTGGTTAATCAATATTTTTGTTTGATCTACCCAACGGCTTGGAGATCTTCCTCTAGGTCTCTTTCCTTTAACTCTACCCTCGACTATTAGTTTTTCCATCGTACCTGTTCTTTTAGCAATGTCTCCAAAATACTGCACATATCTCTGTTGTATTTTTTTAAGCAATCTATCCCTTACGTTAAGTTGTTTTAATATCGATACTTTGGTGCGATGATCAATCCAGGATATTCTTAACATGCGGCGGTATACCCACATTTCTAAAACGTTTAGTTTATTTTTATCCGCCTTCTTTAAGGTCTACATTTCGGATGGGTTTATGGCTATGGGAAAAATTAATGCCCTTATCAGCCTTAGTTTTCTGTGTATTGTTATGCTAGAATTTTCCAAATTGTTACCAGTTTCATCATAGCGGTTTTAGCAATGGTCAACCTTCTACGTATCTCTCTGTCATTTGTTATTAGGGACCCCAGGTATATGAAACTATTTACTACTTCAACGCCCCCAATTCGTTTAATGTGTTCAAGATTATTTCGAGCTCTGTCTACTATCATGATTTTTGTCTTACTCCCATTTAGCTTTAGTTAATATGTTTGCTTGTCTCCTCCAGACATCTCATTATGTCTTCCATTTCTTGTTGATTGGTCGCGATTAATAAAGTGTCATCAGCATATCTCAAGTTACTGATTTTTTGACCTCCTACTGATATTCCACTCTTCCATCCATCTAGTATCTTTCGCATAATGTATTCGCTGTAGATATTAAATAGAGTTGGCAAGATTATACATCCTTGCCTGCTACCTGACGGTAAAAGAAAGGGAAGAAATCTACGGGAAGGAGGAGCTGGAAAAAATAGTAGCTAGAAATAGCAGCATAACGGAATGGCAGAAAAGATGGACAAACGAGCATAGGGCGGCCTGGACAAGGGTATTAATTTCAAATATTGCAGAAATGAATTTCACAGGGAGGTAGGTAGGTTAAGTGCAAATAAAATAAAGCAGATAGAAATGAGAGTAAAGACCGAATACAAGGTAATACTGGAGGCAGTAATTTAAATCAGCGAAAAGAAGAAAATAATAGAGAGGAATTTGCAGCAAAGGTAGGAGAGAAAGAGAGAGATAACGAAAGAGAAGACGGCCTATTCATGTGATGCCCCGGTCTCAAGAGGGCCTACCGCATGGGTAGTTCGGTTGAGGGGGTGGAATTTAGTTGCTTGCAGGGAGCTTTGGTTGCATCTGTGAGGACTCATTTGGGAGGACTACGTACGGATGGAGCCTACCACCCTGAATCCTAGGGATATACAAATTTTATTTTAGTTATTAAGAGATAAATGGAAATTGTTATTAGAATTACCTCTTACCTTTTCTGGGAAGACATGTACAGAATTCACATGCTTTCCTTTTATCGGCAACAGGGATAGTTTTTAGAAAAGTCTTATCTTATAAAAAATAAAAGTTTATTTTATTTATTTACACACGATCAACTCTTGTTTATTAGATCATCAAATCTAATAACTAAGCAAAAATTGTTTATATAACAATGATCTACATATTAGATATAAAATCAGAATGTGCATAAGAACCAAGGTCAATATGGTATCTAAAATTCATAAACAATTAAAATTCTTTTAAAATTACTAATTAAATATATAACTTTATCTTTTAATAAAGTAGAATAAAAAAGGTACAATTTTAAAAGTATATTTGGTAAAACTATCTTATAGAAATAAATATAAATGTTAAAAACTTTATAACAATATTATGGTAAGTAAGGAATAAGGTTTAATAATATTGACATTAGTTTTAATAATATACGAATCTTGAAATTATTTAAGTGTTTAAGTATTTAAATTTTTATATTTTCGACTCCTGCTTCTAAAAAGGCATAAAAAATTAAACACAAGAAAAAATATATTAGATGTTACAGTAAATAAAAGACAAGTTTGACAGAAGTCGTGTAACTAGTGAAAAGAGACTACAAAAGATAAAGTTGCGGTATGACAAGCTGTTATCTGATGTAATATATACATAAACCTTACTACATTACTTTTCCAAACAAATCAATAAAAACACTTTGACCAACAGTGGTTAATGTTGGTAAGCATTAACAAAAGATGGACCATAAGCAGATGACCTAATGAACTGTTGAGGAAGTGCTACTGGAGCAGAATGAGAATATGCAACTGAATTAGGTTGAGCATATGCAACTGGAGCAGGTTGCGCGTAACTAACTGGAGCAGATTGAGCGTAAGCAACTGGAGCAGGTTGAGCATATGCAACTGGAGCAGCTACTTTTGCTACAACTGGTGCGACTGCTTTAACTGCTACTGCAACTGGTTCTTTGCGGACAACGGCGTTAAAACCATTATGGTCATCAGCAGTGTAATCGACAGTACGTTTTGTACCGTCAGCGTCTACTACTGAGTAACTTCCTTGTACGACATCACCGCGGCGGGATTCCTGTTGGCTTTTGTTATCTCCAGTGTTGGGGTCGTTGACAGCGTATCCAAAATCATAGTGAGCAGGTGCAGACGGTTCAGCAATAACAGCCTTAGTAATGGGTGCAGCATAAGCAACTGGAGCAGCCAGTTTGACTGCAGGTGCTGCGTATGAAACAGGCGAAACAGGTGGAGATGCATAAGAATAAACTTGAGGTGCCTGGTGCTGGTATGGTAAAGCTGCAGCTAATGCTGGGGAAGGAAGTGGCGCTGATCCAGCAAATGAAAAGCCAGAGTATGGTGAAGCGCCAAATTGAACTGGAGCAGCTACCTTTGCAAAAGCTGGAGGAGCGGGGTAAGCTAAAGGTGCTGATAGAGATGAGTATGACACAGCTGGAGCTTCTGAGTAGGCGACTTTAGCAACTGGCGGTGCAGCGTACGATAACTGTGGTGGAAAGGCTTCATTTAAAACACCAGCTCGGGCTACTACAATGAAAGCAGCAAACGTAATGATCTGAAAGAAAGTAATTATTAAAGTAAGTAGTTATGATTATAATTATATAAAAAATATTATCATACTATATAATATAAAACGAAACTAATGAGAACGAACAATTCCTGATAGATTTCGCAAGAGAAAAAAATATGATCGTAATAAGCACATATTTCTAAAGAAAAGAAATACACAAGAAAACATGGATATCGCCAGATAGAAAAAGTGAAACCAAATAGACCAGGTGCTCATCGCAAAAGAAGAACAGCAATTTATAAAGAAGATAAGAACATACAGAGGACCAGACGCTGACTCAGATCATTACATGATGGCCATTAAAATTAAGCAACTGATACCATAATACAAAAAAATTAAAAGAAAAGAAATCTATAAATAACCCAATTGGATAAGCAACAAATAAGGAGCAAGAAATGTACAAGGAAGCAATGGAAAGAAAACTAAAAAAGATACAAATAGAAGAACAAACTAAGAACAAATGGAAAAACATAAAGCAAGTAATGAACAAAGCAGCAAAAGAGAATACATATAATAAACAAGAGAATAAAAACAGGAAAGACTAGAGACAGGTTCGACATAGAGTGCCAAAAAGAAATAGACCTAAGAAAATCATTGAGGATGGAAATGGTTACAAAAGAAACGATAGAGACAAATAATAGATATATGAAGCAAAGACAAAAAGTATAGAGGATGCTGAGAGAAAAGAAGGGAAAACATATAGAAAATAAGCTAAAAGAAATAGAAGAGAATTACAGAAATAAAGAAATAAAAAACCTATATCAAGGTACTAGAAATGAAAAAAGAGGTTTCCAACAAAAACTAAGCAGGAAATAATATAAACGGTAAAGCAGAAATAGTAGAAAGATGGAAAGAGTATTTTGATGAATTACTAAATGGCAATAATAAGTCAAACAAAGAGAATGTATGGAAGCAGAAGTAAGAATCGAACACGCGATAACATAACAGCAGAGATAATAAAATTTGGTGGAAAACTGCTAAATGATTGGATATACAAGATTATAAAGAATATTTGGATAAATGATATGCATTTGCGAATGATGTAGTGTTGCTGGAAAGAGGAAAACACGATCTACAGGAAATAGTACAGAGAATAGTTAAAGCTGCGAAGCAAATGGGACTTTACATAAATGAAACTAAAACAAAATGTATGCAGTGGACATATGAACAGTTCAGGTATGAACAAAAGTTTAAAATAGAAGTAGAAGAAGGATCATTATACGAATTTGAAATGGTAGAAAGATTTACATACCTAAGTGCAATAATATGACATAAAGCATTAAAGAAGAAATACAGACTAGAACAATGGTAGGCAATAGAAGTGTACATGCTCTTAGTGGAATGCTGAAAAGCAAGTTTTTATTAAGAAAGGCAAAATACAGTTATACAAAACAACTATAAAACCAATAGTAACATATTGCATTGAGACTACAGTATAAAATATATAAACTATATATGGAAATTTGATGGCCATGAAAAGAGTATTGGACAACTTGCGACGCATCGCCAGTATAGCGACATTTTTAGCAATAAATTTATTATCAGTTTCTTTAGATCAAAGAAAGATTAGTGCGATGTTTGCTCAGTCTTTAACCTAGCTGATAAAGCTGTGAAGGTCGACTTATAGGAGAACTATGAACCTCACTTAGCCAATAAGATAGTGGCTAGAAATATGAAAAACAGTGAGAAAGAACTCGCCTTGACTGATAAGACCATCTGCGTTGCCATAAAACAATTTATTAAATAAGAACGATTTGTTGCATTAATCAAAACTTTATCTTGCTTTATTCGAAAACTTAACAAAATTAGTTACTACAGTCTTTGCTGGATGAGGCGAAATGTTTTAATTAAGAATCTAAATCTACCTCCACTACAGTGATCGTTCATTTAAACATAAAGTGACGTTTGACAAATGTCATGTCTATTTACTTTTTTCGTTTCGCATAAACTCGAGAAAGTATTATGAAATTGTAAGGAAAATAGTAAAAACAGTTTTATTTTCTCATACACACAGTTCTAATATCTATACCATATAATAATCTATATATAATAATCTATACCATATACCATCAGATATTAACTGTTATTAGTTGCATATGAATTGTTTTAAAAAATGTGATTTTTACTCGACAGTAAAACATTTTTATTTTTGAGAGAATTATGTATGATTAGCATTAAAAATAATTTTAAAATGTTCCACATTGTTTATTTACAATAAAAAACGATTTTTCAACATTTTCGCTGCAACAAAATTAAAATTATAAGTTTGTGCATTAATTCAATACATTTTAATATTTATAAATTTAATAACCGATATATAATTTGATATCAATTCCAGACACAATTTTGTAGAGTCGTAACTGCTTCAGTTAAAAAGCAAGTAAGTTATGATAATTTATCTTGATTTGGAAAGCTAATATTATGATTGTTACAAAACTTATTGTTTATTTCCTGTATTGGTCTAACTTTATATATCTATTATATAAAAACTAAAGTATGTTCAAATCTTTATCATTTTTAAATAAAAATCCACCGTGTGCAATATGGCATTGGTTGGGAAACTTGGAACATATGGCCCCAAATATTTTCTCTCAAGACTAATAAATATTCAAATTTATCAATTTAGAATTTAAGATTTTCAATGAAGACGAATATTAATGTTGTACGAAAGTCGGTGATGCAATTAAGTCTAATTAGCATCATCGATTAATTGGACTACCTTGAGTTAGTTTTAAAACAAACTCTTCATTTTCATATATAAATATGTGTAGCGATATTTAAAACATTTGTTCCTATTTAAATAATAGTTTTAGTAATATCTACTTTATATATAATCTACTTTAAATATAATAATCTACTTTATATAGAGTTTTTTATTGCATTTAACCGGAAGTTTTGTGAAATACTTTTTTACTTAAGCACATATATTGTTGTCTTCTTCACAAACATTTTGGACATAACTAGAGTAAGAGGAAAAGCATTGGATTTCTGCTCATACATGGAGAACAAATTAAAAAAGTAGAAAAATATAAATATCTGGGTACAATAACTAACGAAAATAATGAGTACACAGAAACGATTAAGGCAAGAATAGGACAGGCAAGAAATTCTTTCAACAAACTCATACATGGAGAACAAATTAAAAAAGTAGAAAAATATAAATATCTGGGTACAATAACTAACGAAAATAATGAGTACACAGAAACGATTAAGGCAAGAATAGGACAGGCAAGAAATTCTTTCAACAAACTGAAAAAAGTACTCCCCAGCAGGGACATTTCAATTTCTTTAAAGATAAGACTGAGATGCTACGTGTTTTCCGTATTATTTTATGCGTTGGAGGCTTGAAAATTAAAGAAAGATGTTTCGAACAGTTTAGAAGCCTTCGTAAGCCTTAATAATGCAAGGAAAAATACAGGGTAGAAGGTGTCGCGGAAGAAGACTCATCTCCTGATTAAACAATTTGAGAGCTTGGTTTAACTGCACTTCTGCTGCTTCTTTAGAGGAGCGGTATCGAAAGTGCGAATTGCCATGATGGTTGCCAACCTCCTTAGAGGAGATGGCACATGAAGAAGAAGAAGAAGATAAAAGTTAGAAGTTATATGGATAAAAAAGAGGCATTATTTGCAATGAAATTCCATTTTCAGAAATGTAAGAATTAAAATAAGGTTAAATATGAATGCTTTATACAGGCAGACAGGTAAAGGTCTTTAACTGAATACAGCATATACAGACGAACTCAAAAATATCAAATTAGACAAAAAAAGAAACAATGTAATCATAAAGGCTATATATTGGAACCAGAAAGCAATGGTAAAGATGAACAAAATAGAAACAAATAATCTGCCGATTGCAAAAGAGATCAGGCACGGATGCGTCTTATCTTCGACGCTTTTTAACCTCGTAATTATAGCTGAGAGTCATGAGGAGCTATAAACTTTACTAGATACAGTAAATATCTAATACATCCAAATGGGACTTCACATTAACATTGGTAAGATAAAAGTTTATGATAGTATCAAAAGGTTTTATTAATAACGAACAACTAACTCTGTATATGCTTCAAATAGAGGGAATGGAAAAATATAAATATGCGGCGGCCTACATCACCTCTGAATTGGATTCAGACGAAAAAATCATAATAGAAATATAAATGTCAAGGAGAGCATTTTTAATATTCAGATTATTAATCTGAATACTGCGCTAAGTAAGTCGTGACAAAAAATTGTTAAGAACAATAAAATCTTGGAGACATACTGCGGAATGAAAAATACAGTCTATTTCAGGTAATCATAGAGGGTAGAGTAAATGGAAAAAAGGGAATAGGAAAAAGGAAAAAGGTATGGCTGCTTATTATTCGGGACTAGTCAAACATGAATGTAAAAGAAATATTCCACGCTGCGCTAAGGACCGAAACTTTTAGAAATGTGATCGCCAATCTTTGTTGATGGGAATAAGATAAGAAGTAAAAAGAAGATACAAGCCTGGTATATTTACGAGACCTCCAAAGAAATAGTAAATTTCAAAAAAATACGACAGTTTTAACCTCCACAAAAAAATTCTAACGTACTTAATAACGTAAACGAAAAAAATTGTGATCACAACAACAACACTGCAAAGAATAGAAAAGATACATCAATGATATTTTTGATAATGCTTCCCGAAAACATAAACTACATTCACTTATTACATGTTTCAATCAGTTAGACAGAAGTCCTCGTATATTGAAATTAGAAGCCAGATAAGTAATACAGCAAGCAAAAAAAATAAAGCACCTGAATCAGATCAAATCCCTGCTAAGCTACTTAAACTTTTAAAGGAAGAAAATATTACCGACTTAACCAGTTTCCTTAACAAAATTCACAACAAAGAAAAGCTATCAGATGATTAGTTGGAGTCACTGGACAGAGGTTGTCCACCAATACGTTAGACTGAAGATATAAACCGTTGCTATAGGAATTGAATGCAGGAGGCACAAGATCAAAACAGATAAAAAATTATAAGTAACATATATGTCCAGCAGTGGACAAGCGAAGATTAAATCATGACTTCAATTATAGAAACCTTGACAAAGAATAAAAAATTAATAGCAATCATTTTTGACATAACCCAGGTTTTCGATAGAATATAGAACTTTTTATTAACAACACTTAGTAAATACGAAATTTGAAGTAATATGTTAGCAAAAGATAGCCATAAATTCACTCAAAAATAGAAAGTCACCAAGATCAGACGGAATAACCAACGAGCTTCTAAAACACGGAAACGAAAGTATAACCATAACGATTATACAAAAACTAATATTGCACTGCAAGATACCAGA